ATTTGCTTAATGTGCATAAAGCACAGGAATCACAAGAGAGTAAGTACCCAATAACCCACTGAGGTCCAGATGCTCCTATTCCCTATTTCACAGGGGAAGGGGGAGATGAGAGTGTAGCAATAAATGATTTTTAGGGGAAATGAATGAGCCCAATGAACAAAGTCCTGGGGTTGTGGGAAGGTGAGAGGCATAACTTCACTGTGAACAAAGTTTGTCTTATTACACAGATAAAGTCTCCCAGGTAATCTCTCAATCTGCCCTAGAAGAATAGACGAAAAGTCTGTCTGGCCATGGTGACAGCTCCCAGTCTCTTCTTTTCTCCAGTGGTTAATCTTCCTTTCCTGGTATTCGAGATTCGTACGGACAGTGTCTTAAGACAATTGCATTTCTTTTGCAAAGAAGTTTTCTTAGTCAGATAAGGAAATTCTAGAGAGTCCCTCCTGATGCTTCAGGAAAGAAAGAGATTCAGAGCAACAGGGAACAGGGGAAGGTCAGAGAGACCTTGGTTCTAAGGCCTTTCAGTTTTCTTTAATTCAGAACATTTAGCATGCCAAAGCACCATATTTGAGGGCATTATTCTCTGAGCCCCAGCACTAGCAAGGTGGGGGTAGGGGAGATTTAATACATTCAGAAGGCGTGTTGACTTTGAGTCTTGGCATTTTCATGCAGTTGACCTCTTCAGTGTGCTCTGCTGTTCCACTTTCTGTTAACCAAAACTTAGTAGATGTACAAGACAGATCACAAAATGAGCCAGGTGTTACTTGGTGAAGATGGCCAGATGCCCTGGGTGTACCCCTAAAATTCCAAAGCTAAAACTTTGTCCTTTTGGTTTGTGAAGTTGGGTCTGTTCAAAGACAAATCCCCCAAAGAAAGTAATATTTTAAACTAAGGCAAGTCATCCTCAGTATAGTCCAACTTGAGAGAGTAAGTAAAAGCCATCAATTGGGAACCCACTTATATTTCTAATGCCAAACATTACAAATCAGCGCTTCATTCTGCTTCCCTCCTGTCACAGTAAGACTTGGGGCTGGGCTCACTGGGCTGCACACAGCCTTTCTGGAACATTCAGGCTCAAAACAAGTGTAACCCCTGAGCATGCCAAAGAGAACTGGTAGTCAAGTCAAGTGCCCCCAACTTCAGTTTGCAACTTCTGACTAGTATTGTGGTTGTGCTAGACAGAATGTTGACACCCGCCCCCAAAGATGTCCAGGTCCTAATCCCCAAATCTCTGAATATGTAACCTCATGTGACAAAGGGGACCGTAGCTATAGTTAACTTAAGGATCTCGAGATGGGAATTAAATGATTTAACATACACAGAGTACTTAGATCCATGTCTGTATATTGCAGGCATTAAATCAGCATTATCTTATTAAATTATTACTTATTATTTGCAGAGGAAAGAACATAGGCCTAGCTGGTTCACTACCTTGTCCAAGGCAAGTAGGTTCAGAACACAGCCACAACTAGAACCCAAATCCCCTAATTCCTGAGCTGTTAGTGCTTTGTCAATACCATGTCACAACACCATATTCTACCAAATCTCATTTTCGAAGTCAAAACAACTAATTAGGGCATATGCCCTTCTGGAGGCCTTAGCTACATTTTATAACTAGGATTAGCCTTGATATTGTTGACCTAACAAGAAACTGAGACCAAATACATACAGCAAGATTTATTGAGCCAATATGACGATTGCAACCGGGGGGACACATAGGTCAGGTTGCCCTGAAAATGGGTTCCAGAGAGGGCCAGCAGAGCTTCACATTTTATAATCACAAGAAGGGGTAAGAGAGAGAGAGAAAGACAACCCCACCTGATTACTTCATCAGGTTTTCTCTTGGTCGTGCGTGACATATTTAGATTGGGGACTGTTACTAGATTACATCCTACATGCAGGGGTCCAGGGTAAGGGTAATAAGTATTCTAGGTTATTTTTTAGCTTTGTGGCACCATTATGACTGTTTCTGAGTAAAATGATCTTATTATAACATTTTTCAGGAAGAGTGAACATGATTACTGACTTATCCAAGATCTCCCAAGGCACTATCATTGAGCTGACCTGGTCAGAGCAGATTCTTTCAGTTATCAATATTCTCAGACCCTTTCTAGAGAAATAACACATAAGTTGAGGGCCTCATTTGAAATCATGTGTGTTTGACGGTAAGGCTGCCTAGTTTATAACAGAATTTTCTCTGGTTATAGTTCTGTCACTCTAAACATGACCCATAAGAAAAGCACAAAGGCCAGCACAGAACCAGGCAGCCTGTCTGGTGATGGAATCAGTGAGCGCTCAGCCAAAGCCTGTGGGAGAACACTCTGCAGATGCCTCTTAGCCAAAGACTCCAAAACACTGGCCAGACCTCCGAGATGCACGCTCCCCCTGAATCTGGAGGACTTGTTCAAAACCTACTGCTCGCCAAAGCTCTAGCTTGATTTAAGCCTGGATATTACCAAACAATTCCATAAAGGTGGCTGTGTATCCCTTGTAAAAGAAACAGGTATTCTTAAGGAAAGTAAACTGAAAGGTGAGAAAGCACCTCTGAGAAGATCTTTCATTCATAGTGGAGTCGTAAACTGCATTCCAGACTTATGACAACAAACCACTCAGTTGTATAATCCTGTGTATCCCTTGTAAAAGAAACAGGTATTCTTAAGGAAAGTAAACTGAAAGGTGAGAAAGCGCCTCTGAGAAGATCTTTCATTCATAGTGGAGTCGTAAACTGCATTCCAGACTTATGACAACAAACCACTCAGTTGTATAATCCGCACTTTTCTCCTGCAGCTTGAGAATGCTATTTTAGAAAAGACTTGAAGACTACCAAGTCTGAATCTAGACCCTCCAATATTGTGAATTTCCAAATACACAGCTGGCCCTTGTCAATGGGGATGAAGAACGCCTTCGTGGGACTGTAAAGGAAAAAGCAAAGTTTTTTTCTTTCTGTTCTCACGCTCAACATGGCACACTTGCATGACCAGATGTGTGGGGGTTTTTCCCCACACACCAGGCAATTCTCCAGTGGCCACAAACTGGGTGTCCTAAAATTCAGTTCAGTTCTGACACTATCTACCTGGGTAGTGTCAGATTCCACAGGTTAAGGGCTCAGTCCCACAAGGCTGCTTCTGCTTCAGACACCAGTCCCAAGTAGCAGGTTGTCACCCACACCGCTGACAGACTGGCTATAAATTGGGGTTTCTACAACCCCCTCCTAGGGTTCGATTAATTTGCTAGGATGGCTCACAGAATTCAGAGAAACACTTCACGTACATCCACCAGTTTACTGTAAAGATAGCATAAAAGGTGCAGATGAACAGCCAGGTGAAGAGGTGGATAGGGCAGAGTGTGGGGTGGAGGGGCAGCGGTGCTGTGACCTCTGCATGCCACCGTCCCAGCACCTCCACGTGTTCAGCAACCTGGAAACACATCAAATCTTGTTGTTCAAGTGTTTTCATAGAGCTTAACCTCCAGCCCCTACCTTCCCCCTTCCGATCTGAAAGTTCCAACCTGCTAATCACTGGGTGTTTCTGGTGAGGAGCCGCATGCTAAGGCTAGCTAGGGGCCCCACTGTAACTCACCTTATTAGTATAAACTCAGCTGTGATCAAAAGGGACTCACTATGGATAATAAAAGACACTCTGTCACTCAGGAAATTCCAAGGGTTTTAGGTGCTCTGTGATAGGAACCTGAGACAAAGAGCAAAATATGTTTCATTTTATACCACAGGGATGTTTTAAGGAGAAAATGAATAGTAAGTGAAAATGGTCTTATAAATCTAAACACACTTTAGAATAGAATTTCCAACAGTTTCGGGGTGCTGTCTGCTGTTTTGCGGGCAGGTATCTGACCAGAAGTCCTTTCTCTGGCCTTAAAGCCCTTGGCCTATCTAGCATGTGGGCTGTTGATACTGGGCTGTCACAGAGGCCAGGACAACAAGCACTGAATTTAAAATAGTTGCACTTGGAGACCCAGTGGACTTCATATTTTCACTCTAAGATTTCTCTTCAGTTTCCGTGATGTCAACATCTTGCCAACTGTAGGACCAGTTGCTGATATTTGGGGAGCGCCCACAAGCCCTCCGACTAGGAGAGGGCTTCTCTACGCCTTGGGTCCCTGTGAGGACACTGAGAAGCCACAGTGTTCCCGCCTCATACACACGCATCCCAGTGAGAGAAGCAGGATGCTGAGAGATTGCAGGGTTGTGAGATAACCACCCAGAGCTTCAAAAATACAGTGTCACTGTTCACGCTCAGGCCACCGCGTTGGTGTTGATCGTTCCTGGAACTTTATGCAAGCGTACGAGGCTGTAGTTCTCTTGGATGTCACCCATTCTCTAGCTACTTCTGTCACTCCGTGCCGCCTGCTGTCACTCTGCTCCCCCCCCCCCCATTGCGTCATAGCACGCTGACACACTTGCTGTGATGTTTCACCTGCTATGGTTCAATTATGTGCCCGGCCACAGGAGCATCATTTTGGATCCTGTTCATTTGTCATCCCATGTCTCACAAGGCTCTGGTGGTGATGGGTGGGGACAAGAAGAAGAGCAACTATTGTTCTTTGCAGACAGACACATTCTCGTACATCTCCCCGGGGCCGTGAGCCTCTTTATGCCCTGAGTCTGCACAAGTGTGGCAAGAGGGGGAAAGCAAGAGGCCACGTCTGAAGTCAGGAAGCCACAAGGAAAGAAAGGGACTTCTGTGAAGAGAAGAGTTCCCTCTGAGTTTCAGTCCACTTGCCTGGGGGCTCTGGAGGAGCAGGGCTGGGGAGGGGCAATGGGGGGGGCAGGGGCCAGCTGGGCGCGGCGTGACGCAGGGTGCCTTTCCTGGGGCTGCAATTGAGGAACTGAGGAGGCGTTGGTGGCGAGAGTCAGTCTGTCCGAGCACAGGATGGAGCAAGAACTCCAGCCACTGATTCTGTCTCATGTTTCTGCAAGGGCCCAGGAGATTAATGACCCAAGGAGGCTATGATATGGTCCAAAAACTTTTCCTGGATTTTTTCCGTAGGCGGCTGAGCCAGAGGCCAACTGCAGAGGAATTGGAACAGAGGAACATTTTGAAACGTAAGTGACTAAGCAATCACTGATGTTTGGTGGCGGCTTTTGTTGTTATTTGATTGTAGGCCACAAGGTTTTGCCTGGTGCAGAAATGACTGAGAACCCCCCAGACAGTTGAGGTCCTTGCGTGTTAGAACCACAGACCACCCCCCACCCCCAGAGAAGGCAAATTTTATCCCACTTTGTTCCTTAGAAGCTCACAGACTGCAAGCAGAACCTTCCCTTTAGTGCATTGTAAAGTCAGAGAGAAGCTGAAAAATTAGAGTGAGAGAATGTATTATTTAATGGCTTTGAGGTTAGGATCACCTTTACACCAAAATTGGCTTAACAGTGGTGAATGTGATATTGGTGGCTATCATGAGGACAATAGCCTTGTGAAAACTGGGACTAGAAAGCATGACTTTCCATGGCAGCTGGCTGCTGTTGATAAAATGCTTCGCCCCTTTGAACGTTACAAAGTCTAAGAAAGCATTTCCAAGTGCAAATGCTTCGTGTCCATCTCTGAGGATTTCCACAGCTGGCCAGTGGCACGCCTGCTGGATGCTGTCCATCAGGAAAAACTGGCTGTCGCCGAGGACGTGGACAGAAAAACTAAATGAATCCCTTGTTTGGAGCAGGACACAGAGATGTTTGAGTATGTACAGAGAATCTTCTTGGTGCTAAAAAGAAAAAAAAAAAAAGAAGAATGCAAAATACTAAAAGAAACCAAGCATGTTATGCACAGCACTGTGCCTCAGTGCAGTGGTAGGTAGGAAATAATTAAAAATCGAACCACTCTGCTCACATCTACTGTTGTTACCAACACTTTCCTCAGGATAATCAAGTGATAGTGACAGTTTAATTCATGAGCGGTTCTCCCCCACCCCGCACACTCTCTTCTAATTTCTCTCCAGAAAAGAGAAATGTATATGCCAGATTTTCTAGAAATGCTGTGTTTTACACACACAGTCAATCACATGAAGCCTCAGTTTGGGTGGCTGGGTATTTCCACTTAAACCAAACTGAAATGTTCCTGATTTACTTTTCTACTCAGCCCTGGTGTGGTCTTGTGACTCGGTCAGCACTAGATGGTTTGCTCTGGGCACGTGCTGCGTTTTGCCCCAAGAAGGCTGAAGTGGCGGCTTGTCGCCCGCAGCCACTCCAGGGAGGTCATTCTCAGGACTGGCCTTCCTCGGTCCTGAGTGCACCTCGTGCATCCCATAGGTCTCTGGGAATGTGTGTGTATATTTTAGCTACCCAAGGGGTGCCCTTAAAAGTTTCCAAGCTTAATATGCCATAAAACTGAATTATAACTTTTTCAGATGATTTCCACATGAGGAAGTGTGTGGCCTGTATGGTATCTCCTTTTCTGCCCCAATCTAATACCTGCTCCGTTATAAACTTTCCATTGTTGGGAGAGGAAGAAAAACAGGAAGGTGAACGTTTATTCCTAAAATCAGAAATCAGATCGCCGTGCCTCCTCCTCTCTTCCACTTCATGCCACATGGGTATCTGATGTCAGGATCTCTTGTCCCCTGAGGGGTCTCTGTACAGCTGCCTCATGGGACCCGACTATACTCGTGTCCTCCGATCTAACACCTAAACTCGAAGCTAAAAACCTCTGGGGGTTTTTTCAAGTTTCAGAAAATAGTGCTTATCTTAGCAGGGGTGAGGTTTCTAGAAGGAAAAGGTCTGAAATGCCCCCACTAATCTCTGGCTTCCAAAAGGCAGCTCCCACTTCAGGTTTGCCCAGATTCCTGGGAGATCACGGGCAGGTCCCTTAGGGCTACATTTTTACTGCTATCTACTCAGTCTAGTAGGCCCTGGGGGAGCTGAGATTCAGGGGACCAAAGGAGGTTTTACAAGATTGTTCCAAGGGTTCAGTTCTCTTCTCTTTCCTCTGCCTTCTTGTCCAAGTCCGATAGCTGCAAATTAAGCAAATGCTTGACCAAATACAAACAGGTTGATCATTTCACAGAACTTTTTTCAGAAAAAAGTTTCAGAACTTTTCAAAAATGAACTTGTTTTTCCCATAGGTTCTTATTTTTCCCTGCATTCTGGAATTTTGTTCTCCTAAATATGAATTTTTTAAAAATGTAATCTATTTTGACTCTTGAACAAGAAATGTCTCGTGATATAAAAAGACATCCTCAATTTGCTCTAATGCTTGTTTCTGGTTTTTAAATCTTTTGAGGAAATGCTCTGGGGAGCGGGGTGGGTAAGAGCAAGCGGGGTCCAGGGATGTCAATGGCTTGGTGGGGGAGCTCTGAGAGGCTGGGTCTGGTTTGCAGCCTGGCCCTGCTGGCCCTGCGTGCAGCCATGGCTTCGTTCAGCAGCCCGTAGGGCCCTGTGCACATCTGAGCACATAATGAACACTCTGATGGTGGCACTGCAGTGGTGACATCACAGGCCTTTCCTGGCCTCTCTTCCCAGTTGCCTGAGAATTCATGACACTGGGTTTATAATGGCTTTGCAGTAAAGGTGTAGATTCCATAGGTGGTAGCTTGTGGCCCTACTCCTCCCAGGGACCTAAGAAGTGCACATAGGAGACGAGGGCTCCATGCTCTGTCACTGAATGCTGACTTTTGTGGCTCAGAAGGGGCCTTGTAGGGTCAGGGGTCCGAGGCCAGTCACCAGTTATGAGAAGGAGGGCTGGCCACAAGCAAAACGTGACGGCGGGAAAAGGTGGTGGCAGCAGGAAGAGGCCGAGTGGACTGTTTGTCTAATTAGCGATGCAGGGTGTGACTAGTCACTTAAGTCCCCTGGGCTTTCATAGCTTCATTTATAAACCAAGAGTGGTGAACAGGGTGGTCTCTAGGGCCCCCCATGGCCCTAATATTCTGTACGTTTTAACCAAGTGCCCTTGAGCTGCATCCGGGGCCCCAACATATAGACGACCTTATCCTCTTTCTCTCGCCTGCACGTGGGGCTGACTGGGGCCTTGCTGTGTGCCTCCCAATCTACTCTCTGATTAATTCATACTAAAATGTTAGTGGCTGACTAGTTTAAGGTTTTATCCCCAAGAAATGTGCATTTTTGCAAACATCACTCTGGAGTCTCCCCTCTTCTGGGTCTTGCTATCTGCCTTCCAGTGTATTTCTGGTAGATTAATCCATACTAAGCTATTAATGGCTGACTAGTTTGATAGGTTTTTATCCATGAGAGATTTGCATGTTTAAAAAACTCTGGGAGGGAGATAGGATCTCTATAGCCAAAGGAAGGAGTGCTCATGGTGGAGGTTTCAGGCACTATGGGACAAGCTAGAGCAGGGACCTCTAGTGACCCCATCGCACAGCAGGATGTGGGCATTTCTTGGGCTGCCCCCTTACAAGGTCCTGATCCCCACAGGTAGGCAGGGAGGCCAGATAGTGCCCCTGGGGGTGTCTCTCAAGGACCTGAGTTCTGCTCTTAGCTGCCACTATTTGTTCTAGCAGGAGGTGTTACCACCATCAGCTGTGGTCATGGTTGCTGTCCTCAGGGCTGGCAAGGAGGGGTGGGTGGGACTGTTTCAGACATTTCTGTGCACAGGAGCTTCCTTCTTTTAAAGACTTGTCCCCTACTGATATAATCGGGCCACAACTGAATTGCAAGTGGGTACCAATGCAACAGACTAAGTTCTCAAAATGTAATTTAACAGCCATGATTTCAAAACAAGAGAACTAGTATTCTGGCAATCATAATGCACCCTATGCCAAAATAACTTGTTTGGTTTCCTTTTACAAATACCATTCATGGTTTTTTTCCATGTCAGATAATACTGTACTGATATCTATGCTTTCATAGATATCCAGGAATCCTTCCAAGGCCCAGAAGGAAAACGATCTACTCCAGCTCACTCAGTTAGCTTAAAAGGAGAAAGAAGCCCAATTATTTAAATCTCTGCTCCCTTTCCCAGACCCACTTACGTATGGCTCTTTAAAAATCTGATAAGTAAGTCACCGCATGCTAAGCTGAGAACGTCTAAGCTCAGAAGTCTACTCTCCTGAGGCACTCCTTAGAAGTCTAAATGCAGACAGTTGTATCCCACACTTTGGCCTCACACATGTTCTGTGGACTCTTGGAAGAGTCAAAGAATTAATGGAATCAGGGCTTGGGAAAGGTGAGAGCATTTTGTAGTCCCTCTTAGTGTGGCCAGTCTGCTACTCGGCCGGCCCTGCCACGTCTCGTTTCTGTAGCAGGTCTCAGCCAGTATTCTGTGCAACCCCACAGTGCCCCAGACACGAGGCCATGTCACAATGGGCTCAAGGGGCAGTGAAGGGCTGTCCAACTCAGGGAGCCTCACTTCTCCCCACGTGCCCATGTCGCTGCCAACAGCACTCCCACTCTCTTAAAACCAGTCTCCTTGCCTGTCGCCACATTTCTCAATCCAGCGTCTCTGCCCGGGGGCTCGAAACCCCATGAGACATAAAGAAAACAAAATGAACAGGTCAATCTGCTCATCACCAATTTGAAATAATGCAGGTAGTTTGGAAAGTGTCCCCACAGGCAGAAGGGTGGCCAGGGAAGGAGACAGGAGCTCTCTCTTCCCCTTTTCAAACTGTGGTGCTTGGCCTCGAGCCTGCTAAGGTTCACAGGATGCACCTGTGTGCAACATTGTTTCCCAAAATCAAAAGCATCTTAAATTTTCTTTCAGCTCGGAATGAACAAGAAGAACAGGAGGAGAAAAGAGAGATCAAGAGGAGGCTAACTCGAAAGGTGAGAAGGTTCTGCATGCCGACAGCTGCGACAGGAGAGGGAAGGCCACCTGCCACACCTCTGTCCTCTGTCGGCCTTGGGCCTCGCAGCTGCTTGGCACATAAGTTCCACTGCTTGGGTGTCAGAGCATGCAGCTCTCTCACCCTACAGGACGTCTCCAGGGGATGGTGTTCAGCTCAGCTTCACGACCCTCAGTCCTTTTGACCAGTGACATTTCGGGTTGCTTGATTTTGTGACACCCACCTACCCCTAAATAACTTGATGTCTGTTGCATTACATACAGATGGTCCCTGGCTCACAATGGTTCGACTTATAATTTTTCAACTTTACGATGGTGTGAAACCATTCTGTTTTTCACTTTCAGTACTGTATTCAGTAAAGTACATGAGACACTCAATACTTAATTGCTTTGTATTCGATAATTCCCCAGCTGTAGGCTAACATAAGTGTTCTGAGCATGTTTAAGGTAGGCTAGGGTAAGCTCTTTGGTAGGTTGTGCAAATTAAATGCATTTTCGATTTACAGTATTTTCAACTTACAGTCGGTTTATTGGGATGTAAATCCATCATGAGTTGAAGAGCATCTGTATTCAATTACACTAAATATTTTGTTTTAAGAAATTCACTATAACCCTCTCAAGCAATGGGAAATTCATTATCAAAATTAGTAGTTCAAAAATAATCTGGCTATATGCTGTAACCCTGGGAAAGTATGGGATTTTCTTGCTTCCTCTGATACTATTCCTTTCCTATTAATTAAGAAATATTTGACTTTATTATGCTAAATCCAATTTGAATTACTGAATTAGGAAAATGCCAAAAGTACTGATAAATATTGTAAAGATGTTTGAAAAGGACTTAGGTAAAAGTCATAATGCTGGAATTTTTATATATTTTTAACCCCCAAAATAGACACAGCAATGCAGCGTAGACCTATGTGGATCTCATTCTACTTGAGCTGCCTCAATAATAAACTCATCATTGAGGCTATTCTTGGATGGTATTGAAAGTTTAATTAATTGATAACACACAAGATATAATACTACGTTCTTCTGCCTAAAGAGTTTTTCATCAGCCTCCTACAGTGACCATCTTGAGGGAAAGATACTCAAATCATAGAGACAGTTAAGAGACCCATTAAAATTAATTTCTAAAAGGTTTATTAGTGGATGTTTCTCAATAGAAATACTAGGGAAATGAAGAAATTCAGAGATCCTGAAATGTCATATCAGTTATTAAGGTGATGGCTTGTATTTCTCAACACTTTCTCTCCCGAAGAGCATCCCAAACATATGGTGACAAACCAGGCGTCAACCTGATTAAAAGGAGTGGGAGAAACCAGTGTCTGAATGGCCGAGTGACTGGCTGGCATCACCATGGTGGGGACTAGAACAAGAGCTGAGTGACCTCACTACAGTCAGTTGCTGTAACCCCAATCAAGGTCTAACTCTTTCCATGCTTAAGACCATCCAGTCTTTGGATGCAGGGTGCATTTTTTCCTGAGAGTAGTGAGGAGGAAGGGGAGATGCATTAGCTTCCTCTAATTGTGCCCTTGAAATGACAGGGGGATGAAAAGGACATTGGTGAGAGCCCCTCATTTCTGATGCAGAAAGATCTAGACATTCAGAAAAATGTTTAAATCCTGCTTTCATCAAGTTCTTTGAAGTTCATTGCTGGAATCCCAAAATTCTCCAAAACGTTAAGGTTGTCTGCTAAAGGATAGTCATAGAAAAATACTTAGATGTTTATATAAGTCTTATCCCTTAAAAAAGATTATATGGTTTTGCAGAGAAGAACCTGACTGCACCATTTGGCAGTGGGTGCAGGAAGAGGGTTTCTCCCACATCCCTCTCCCCTAGGGTGGGTAACACTAGGGATAGTTACCCCCAAATCTCAGTTTTTGCAGGTCCCTGAGATAAGATAATCGCCTCTTTCCTGGTCACCTCTCCTTCCTTCTCCCAGGGACATGGCTTTGTAATATCAGCATTTGCCTTCCCCTGGGACAGGTGTGGGGAATTAGAAATAATGAGGGAAGGATAACTGTTTGCATGTTAGAGACTGGAAGAATGGGGAGACAGCTCTCACATCAGCTTTTGTCCGCAGAGACGCGGCGCCTGCCAGCAGGTAGGGAATCTGTGTCGCTTCATGGCTCTGGGCACCTTCCTTTCCTCTTGAGCCTTTATCACACCAAGACCAGATGCCAGTGATGGGGTGGTTGCTTTCCCTCAGCCCAAGGATTTCCTCAATAAAGCTCTTTAATTTGGGGGGGGCCGGCCTGGTGGCGCACTGCTGCAGTGCACCACTTGGGAGCGTGGCGGCGCTCCCGCCGAGGGTTTGGATCCCACATACAGACCGGTTCCCGCTCACTGGCTGAGCGAGGTGCGGGCGCAGCACCGAGGGTTGCGATCCCGTTGCCGGTCCCGGTCCGGTACGGGCGCGACACTGAGGGTTGCGATCCGTTGCCGGACACGAAAAAAGACAAAAAGGAAAAAAAAAAAGCTCTTTAATTTTAATGTACTAGCGAGAAAAATAAAAAAGCATAGTAGCTGATACTGATAGCAACAACCAGTCATTTTCTGCGGCCAAATGGAGACCCATATAAAAATTACATGCTCTGTCTTTTAAAAAAATGCCTGCCTTCTCCCTCCTAAAGAAATGCTAGCTAGCTAAATGGATGGTTGGATATATCATGGATGGGAGGAAAGAAAGAAGGAAAGAAATGCACTTGGGTGGAGGTCATACGAATAATACAATTTGGGCCTCAGTGCATTTATTCCTTAATCTTAGTGTTTGGTTACACATGATATTAATTGCTGCCATAGACTGATACAAATGCCACCAACCGCTGCTCCCTACCCCTTCTTCCAGCTCACCATCCCCAGAAAGCCTGACTTTGGCCACAATGACTATTTCCTCAGCATCTGAGAAAGGACCGCTGGTTCTAGGTGCCCCAAGGGCTACAGCCAGGCCACAGGCACATCTTGTGAGCCCCTCATGGCCAGGGGATGCACCCACTCACTCACGGAGGCAGCATCAGTTCAGACCTCACTCAGTCCCTCCTGTACACAGCGCAGAGCCTTCTCGATTTGGAGAGTGGTGTCTAAGGACCCACAGGATTCAGGCATGGAAACAGGCCCCGACCTGCACTGCTGATATGTAGTTTTCTGTTCACTCCAGATTCTGCCATAGACAGGTTATTCGTAAAATCCAGGTCATGATTTTCAGGAAGATAAATTCCAAAGTCAGAGCTTAACAACCTTTCTCGTGTCATGGCACACTTAGAAAATAATACGATTTGTCCAAAACCCTGCTGGTGCTGAGGAACACAAATTGGGAATTTCAAATAGGAATCCATTTATGTCGGGTAAATACAGTAAACATATTTTTATGTTTTTTAATTATAGTACAAAATTTCCCTACACTCACATTTTGGAACCAGAATGACCACCATTTTTGTTTACAGTGACCCCAGCCATACAGCCTGGGAAACCTGTGGTTTCCTGCAACAAGCCAGTGTTAATGCCAAAATGTCCTATCCCAGGAAAACCAAGGTCTCAGGACAGGCAGGAACCACTTGGAGGGGGAGCTACATGCAGTCTAGGCAAGTGGGTCATTGCCACAGCCCACTAAGCCTCTGATCCCCAGATCTCCCCAGTACTGGCCAAGAGGGAGCCACAGGCCAGCCTCAGTCCTGTCTGGAGCCTAGCGGTACCCGCATCACTCTATTTAATACCAATAGAGAATCATCTAATTATGCTCTGCCAGTGTAGCTGCAAGTTGGAACATTCCAGCACCAGCCAAGGGTGTCTGGTAGCTGCGTGATAAAGTCAAAACAGCCAGGGTGGTTTGGACTCGCTTTTGTGTGTTTGTTTTATAGGCCTGAGTGTTAAGATCCTATCTTCTATAAATAGAATTAAACATAGTTGAGGGCTTGGAGGAAAAATTGCTTTTAAATAACATTGGTTGAACGTGAACTGACAGCATCCTAAAGAGAGCAACCGTGTTGCTCCAGAAGAAATAAACCTGGTGACAGGAAGAGATAATAGAAATGTCAGCCTTATGTTGTTAAAGCACAAAGGAAGGGTGCTTGTGGGTAACATCAGGAGATGGCTAAAAAAATATGAATTCTCCTTTTACTTGTTTCTATCCGCATCCCCGCAGTCCTTCACTGCAGAGCCATCCAAAGGCCAATCCCAAGTCTTCCTTGGAAGTAAATGTGGCCTTATGTTTGCTGCTAACCTGTCACTTGAACCTCTTGAGGAGACCAGCGGCAGCATTTGCACTGACCTCATGAATCAATCCACTCCCATCCCAGAGTTGGCACATTGTTGGCACACACTTTCTTGTGTCTAAAACACACACAAAAAAATGGGTATTACAAACCCCTCTTGCAGAGAGCACTAAATGTGACACACAGATGTGGACTCACAAATTCAAAGTAAGACGCAATTGTTGTATAAGGTTCCCATCACTGGCTGGGAGTAGGACAGACAGGAAGTCCACAACAGGCACCCACAGCCACACAGAAGGACACGCTTCTTATAAAGACCAAGACCCAGCAATGTTATGAAGCGAGACTGGCCGTCCACCTGGGTAAGCCTGGAGGTATCATAGGGGGTCATGAAGCCCAGCTCCAGGGGTGGGGAGCCCTGACCCCTGCCTCGGCCATGCTCCTCACTTGGGTGTGAGGTGGATTGCACCCTTTGGGTGACGGGGTCCATTGCTCTCCCTCCTCCCAGCTCAGTCAAAGGCCCACGGTGGAAGAGCTTCGGGAAAGGAAGATCCTCATCCGCTTCAGTGACTATGTGGAGGTGGCAGACGCGCAGGACTACGACCGCAGGGCAGACAAGCCGTGGACCCGCCTCACCGCTGCTGACAAAGTAAGCAGGGCATGGGGGGCTAGGGAGGCCCCGAGAGGCAGGGCCTTCTGTGGGGAGACCGGCTGCAGTGTCACCGTGCAGCACTGGGAGGCAGCCATCCACAGTGCCACTTGCTCAACGCCTTCCCCAAGGGCTGCAGGGAACCTGCAGAGAGGCCACAGAAGCAGAGGAGGCGCAGCCACATGATACTGTGCCCGCTTCGCAGTGCGGGAACGGCAGTGCGGGAACGGCAGTGCGGGAGGCTGTGCCCAGAGAAACAGGACAGCACTGGTCCAGGCACAGAGCAGGTCCCAAATGCCAGCCCCCAAACAGCCATCTGTGCACCCAGCAGGGTATTTGCAAAACCAGGAGAGGCCAAAGTCGCCGTTTGCCGTTCTCATTACCTAGTGGGAGAAATAGGGCACACATCAGAGACATCACAAAACACACTCACTATGCTAGAGCCTCATCGATGTGGAACCCGTAAAGAGGGATAATGACTGAAGTTGAGTGCATTTTGTAGGGAATGCGGGAGTGCGGACGGTAAGTCGTGCTTGTCGTCCATTAGACCAGATAGCAAAATGGACCTCTGTCTGGTCATCCTTTCTGATTCTGGTCCAGTCACCGTGAAGAACAGGAGGGCGATGGGCCTCTTTAAAAATAGTCTAGGGGCCAGCCTGGTGGTGCACTGCTACAGTGCACCGCTTGGGAAGCGCGGCGGCGCTCCTGCCGAGGGTTCGGATCCCACATACAGACCGGCCGCTCACTGGCTGAGCGAGGTGCGGGAGCAACACCAAGGGTTGCGATCCCGTTGCCGGTCCCGGTCCGGTGCGGGCGCGACACTGAGGGTTGCGATCCGTTGCCGGTCACGAAAAAAAAAAAAAAAGACAAATAAATAAATAAATAAAAATAGTCTAAAATAATGATTATGCCCAATGTGTGAGTGACAGTAGAGACTGGGGGGCCTTCTCCTAAAGAGCCCTGCCTTTGCCTGTTCATTCCAGGGGCAAGTGGTTTCCTTACATGTGACATAGGAGGAAGTCATCTACAACCCAGACTGGCTGAACTGTCACCAGCCCTGGATCAAGGGGTTGCAGGAGACACAAGTGCAGGGAAGTTGCTGCTCTTAGGTGGGACCAAAGTGGCCAGAGGCAGATAGACTTCTCCCAGAAACGACCTCTCCCATGGTGCGTCAGCCCCACGGATCCCCATGCATGGAGCTCCACTCCCTCCCCTGTAAACATTGCATTCATCTCTTCCCTGTGCGGGAATTCATGGTGAGTAGCCCAGGAACTGGCACCACCATGCACAGGACAGACAAGCCCAGTCCCACAGGAAGGGTGTCCTCTTAATGTGCACAGGGAAAGGGGCTTTCGCTCTTGTTCTGTTCACACGTGGCTGCAGTGTGCTTGCAAGGATGAGGGTAGCAGCAAAAGCAAAGCGCGAGATGCCTCCACTGCACGCTGCTAAAGTTCTGAGCTGCTCTCAGGTGGAAAATATATCTAGTTCCTCTGTGGCTATTGGGGATGGAAGACCAGGAAACGGTGTCCTCCTCCCCAAAGCTAATAACCAGGCCCTTAGACCCGAGGGAGCCTTCCTGTCCTGTGGAAAGCCAATGTCATCCTCCCTGAAGACTTCTCCATCCTCAAACTCTTGGTGCCTTGGTATTCCCATCAAAGCTGATATCCAGGATAGGCAGATCTGTGCAACAGGGCATGTGTTTACAGTTTCCACCCCGAGGAGGAGGCAAGGTGGTCTCCGACCCCAGCTGTTCCCTGCTGCCTGACCCCCAGTGCTCCCCCTCAGCTGCGGCCACTTCTGCAGGCTGAGAAGGATGAGGCCATTCAGGGTTATTTCAGAGTAGGTGAGGTTACTCAAAACATGTCCTGTATGGTGAAATAGATCACCTCAGAGTCTATGAAGCTGTGAAAGAGCAAAGGCTTTATAAACCAAAGGGGGAGAGGAGGGAGCCGGCCGTTGCGTGTCCCCTCACTTTGGTTGAGGAATTTAGCCCACCTTTACTGCAAGTTTCCATTTTGAGGCATCGCTGTGCCTGTTCTGAACTAACTTAGTGTGTTCATCTGAGGCAGATGAGAGGTTGACATTTCAGTGTGTGCTTGGGAGCCCAGGAGCGGGCCGGTGTGCGCACTATTGATGGATGGCTCTGTGAGACCAGGAGGAAGGAGACACTCTGGGCAATATGCTGTCATTATTTGCAATTTAGATTTAGGGAGGGGGGAAATCTTAGAAAGTTCTAAAAGAGATCTCGGGTGACTTTTTTTTTTCCTTCCAATGAAAGAATTCGTGTTATGCACTTGTATGGCTTCACTGAAGAAAAAAAATATTGTTAGAAATGAACAAAAAGGGAGCACGTTTCCGTCCCCCACTCACGTGTGCTTACGGGCCTGTCTTCATTCCAGGCTGCCATTCGAAAGGAGCTCAATGAATTTAAAAGCACTGAAATGGAGGTTCATGAATTGAGTAGACACTTAACAAGGTTTGTATCAAGAGGGTTTGTTTCCCGTCCCCCTTTCACCCCCCCGCCCCCACCAAATTACAGTGTTTACTTCCAGATGAAACTCTCCTGTCTGCTTCGGGGTCACAGTAGTTTGGTGGGTGCCATGGGAGAAGATAAGAGAAGGTCAGTGTGAGATGCCACTCTAGGTTACTGAACCCAGGGCAAGGAACATTAGAGGCCCAGGCTCAAAGCAGCTTTCTGAAAGCCTGGTCTTTAATTTCGTTTAAACTAAAGACCTGATAAGTGCCAGATTACCATCAAGCCCAAAGTGGGTTTTTATGAAAACTTAAGATGAGGAGAAAAGATTATTGCTAATTTACGACCAGTATTTTGGGCAAAATAACAAATCCACAAGGGACTTCCATTCTCCCAGACAGTCCTATGTGATGATATTTAGAGAAACTGAGGTATGAAGCAATTAAGGGGGTTATATAAGGTCACATGGCTAGTTAGTTTTAGAGCCATTGACTTAAGTCTTATGACTCGGTGTCCTTTGGTGAGCATTTAGAGAAACATGACTCAGTGAGTATATACTGCCTGGACTCTGTGACAAAGATTGATTTTCCTGCTGCTGCTGAAGCCAGGCTGATGGCATGGGCCGGGGCCCCCAGGAGCTGCCGATTAAACTGCTCCAAAACCAGAGGTAAAGTCGGTGGAGCTGGAGCACTTGACAGAGGGAGCTCCTGTGGGGTGGGAGGTTTATGCCTTCCTGTCGCGGTCAGGGACAAGAAATCTGAGGATGGGAAGGTAGGATTGTCAAATCCAACACCTTTGGCAGCCCCCTGGGTCTTGACTGAATTATTTGTTTCCCTAGGTTTCACCGACCTTAACAGTGGAATTCCTCTTGAGTGCTATGCTGTCTTCAAACCATAAATTTATAAGAACCATAAGTGCTGGTATTTATTCACTTCCCCATTACGATGTAAACCTTCTGAACTGCCTTTTTTAAAAAGAAGATGAAAAATAAAAGGAAACACAATCAGGATTCTATATGTGAACATGCGATGGGGACCGCTCTGCAGTCGAGCTGCTGGCACCACTTCCAATGCTGAGACGTGTGACACCCCCGGCAGGACCCTGGCTGAAGACTTCCCGACAGGCACCATGTTCATTTAGTCTCCAGCAAACCTCTTCCTCATGAGTGTCTGTCACCTAAGCCCAAAGAAAGCCGAGGTGGTGGGTTTGGCCAGGGAGACTGTGCCAAGCTTGTGACCTGGCTGGCCTTGTAGACCTGGCCGGAGGCAGTGGCTCCAGAGGTGGCATCTTGTTTGGGGACCCTCTGGGAGGGTGATGCTGAGAGGGAGGGAGCACTTCTCAGTTGCCCCCATCCTGTCCTTCCCTCCAACTCTCATCCACGCAGGGAGCAAAAGGAAGGGCCCTTTGCTGGCAGAGGCTGTTGGCCCTAAGAGAGTGTGTGTTCTGGGCTCGGGAGGCTGGCACTGAGCACCCATCCCACCCCTCAGCCTGAGCTGAGCTGCCTTCCAAGAAGCTCTGGTTTAGGAGGGGAAAGTTGTCATCTGCTCAGTTCAAATTAATTGGCCCATCTATGCCCAGAAAGCCAAATGTCACAGGTGACCGACACACACAGCCACTGCTAAGGTGCTCCATGGTGTTCATGCACATGAGCAGGGACCCTACCCAGGGCATAAAGACTGGGGTAACTCTGTGTGGCTGTGACACTCTTCATTTTCCCCACGCCCTGTGATTGTGTGGCTTGGAAGTCAGTGGCTTCCAAGCACAGGACCAATGCATGCAGGCCAGAAACCATCCCTGTAAGGCTGGCTTTCTGGCCACTGAGGGACTGGCACTCCAGATCCACTCAGTGGCTTTCTGCTCCTCTTTCTTTGCACTGAAGAGTTTCTATGGATAAGCCCCAGAGTTGGCATGTGCCAGAATCGGATAAGCACCAGCCATGCCTACTTACAGTGTACCTTCCTGTTCCCATTTATCCAGAGGGAATCCTTCCTCTCTCATGATGCTGGTGAGGGTGACTGGAGATGGGTTTCTAACTACCCTCCACACTGGGACTGCAGGGAGGCAATGCTCTATTGACAGGGACACCGTGGGTAGGCAGGGTGTGCAATGAGGGAGACATACTCCTAAACCCTAACAGGGATCCCCAGCGGTCCCCTGCAGCTTTTGTGTTTTCCTTCCTAACAGAGCTCGCAGGCCCTCAGTGGCAGAGCCCTGCCTAGCCTTCTGCAGTGGTCCAGTTACCACGATCTTTCTAGGTGATGGCGCTCTCTCCACCACGCACACCCAGGATTTAGAAAGATGCCATTTGGCCTTCCCAGAGTTAACCAGTCCCCACCGCGACCCATGTGGGAGCAAGCTACTCCTAGGCCACATGCCCATGAGCAAGACCAGGAATTTTGTGCAGGCGTTAACGGCTCCGTGGCCAGCACTCACCGAGGAGCCACATACTTTGGGGAGAGCTCAGGGCAGCTCTTTAGGCCGTTTACCTTGCACCCCCTGGAGTGAGCCCACCTCTGCCTGGCCTATGAGGATGCCATCCCTAGATGCTTTTTTTTTCTTTGAATGCTGAATCTGAATCATTCCTGCTGTAGGGAGAGGTACTGTTCAGGGAAAATGTAGTCGGGGTTTTCACGTGGCCGTAAACACAGTCTTCCCGAAAGGCTTACTGACTCTTGAATGTGCAAGTGGTATGACGAGAGACCTAGGACTCTTTCATTGAACTTCTCTGCAGCGGGCAGGCCGGCACGGGTTCCAGGCGGAAATACCTGCCTGGCCAGGCTTTGAGTCTGAGCTTCTCTAACTGGCAGCTGTGCTTCAGGCGGCACATGGTGCCCTGGCCAGGAGCAGGTCCTAAGGGAACTCGTCCCATGGACGGGCCTCCTCCTCCAAAGGCCCGTGGCATCTCTGCTGGCCTGGGTCCTTGGGTCCTTCAGAGTCCCTGGGAACATGGGGCCCAAATCCATCTGCCTGCAGCCAGCCAGCTGCCCCAGTTTTCCACCTAAAGTGCCCTCAAGTTGCAGTCCACTTTGTGCACAGAGACGTGGAACACCATTTCCACCTCTCTTCCTGCAGGGCACCTCTTCTAGAAGTCACCTGCTTAGAATTAGGGGTGTGCCTCCCATGCCACTAAAAGGTTACATACCTTTGGGATGGGCTAGTACACACCCGTTTTAAGTGGCTGTTACACGGGCTCAGCAACCTCCGTGGTCTGCAGGATGGGCCCGCTGCTGTCTTTCCTTTCTGAAAACCTTGAGGACTTTGTAGAGATCTAGCCAGATTTCCTTTTGCCACATTAATATGACAATTGAAGCAATTTGTGTTACCTTCCAAGATGACGATTCAACAGTAATTGGTGGGGGAAAGAACAGGTAGGCTAGATGGTTTATAATGCATCACTTTTCTGAAAAAGCTGTTTTCAAATCAGTTTGTGTATATAAATTCCAATTTGAGCATTTTGTCATTTGGATTAGCGTACGAGGAAAAATATTAAATGTCTCAAATGTTTCCCCCTCAAAATTAGACGTTGCCCCAAACCCCACCCTAACCCCGTCAATGACAGAAAAAACTGCCATGAGCCTACTTGCTTTTTCAAAATTGCTGATATAGTCATTTCCAAAGGCCCTCAGGGTCCTGTAAAACTTTAAAAACTTTAGCCTTTATGTCAGGTTAGAGAAACCAAACAATGTGATGGTAAATGTAATGAAAAGGTCTGAATTTATTTTTCTCCCGCTTATGAATATGTGCATATTTATAATTGCCGGATGAAAATCGTGGTGTGTTGCTTTGATGAATGGAATTCCAGGCTCTTCCTGTACACAGCCAGTGGGCAAAGGTCACCTTAAATGACTTTCTTCCCATTTGTCTGTTCATCCCCAAACTGGTTGCTTTCTCCAGTTGCTTCCCAGGTGTCTGTACATAGTTTGTCTTTGTATAGGAGTGAGTGTGGTGACCGTCAGTCCCGTGCTCTCCCGGGTTCTAATCTCACAGATGACGGGCTGTGTGAGGAAGACAATGTAAATAGAATACAAATTAAACTGGATCTCTATGGCCGAGGTTTTGTACATACAGAAACTGCATGGTATTTAAATTATTGTTTGTCTCTGATGATGTATGCAGTTTCTTTAAAAACAAACAAACAAACAAAATTCTAAAAAAGACCTTGACTCCTGTGTGTTTTATCAACCACCAGCAGGAACCTCCAAAAATACTCAGTGCGGCTGGGGAAAGGGGACTAGGGGAAGGGGGTGGTCAGGAGATACAGGACAACCTCATGTATCTGGTAGTGTTAGGGGAAGGAGGTATTGTTGCACATAAATTAACTTTTCAGATGACTTTTGTATACAAGGACTTTTCTTAACATTTTTATGAGAATATCTGAAATGTATTGTCCAACTGTCTGTCCTTTAGCAGTCTGGAAATAATGAATATAAAAGAATTTTTTGTTAAATCACTCAGGGTCATTTCAGCCTTAGAGCAGCAATGCCTGGGGGGCCTAAGCGAAAGCCCCAAGCTACTTTGCTTTTTGTGTACTTATATCTGTCTCCTTTCTTGAGAAGCCTGAGCATTTGTCCTAAAATGCAAGGAGATTTATTGCATAACCTTCTGGTTATTGAATTGTCTCTTTGAAGGTCCCTGGGGGAAGCAGAGAGGCTGCATTGCTTGTTGTCTGCATTTTAGGTGGGAGAAGTTGCTGGATCACATACCTTTTGTCCAGCAATGTAGGAAAGTTGCTCTAGAAAAAAGGAACCTGGTGCAGTGCTGCTCAAATTGTACAGTGCATAGGAATCCCCTGGGGATCTTGTCAAAGTGCAGATGCTGACTCTGTAGGTCTGGGTGGGGCCTGACAGTCTGCAGTTCTAACAGGCTCCCAGGGCTTGCTGCTGCTGCTGCTGGTCCAGGAATCACTTCTGAGTAGCAAGGAGGTAGGAGAACAATCTAAAGGGAGCCACTTTTCCTTTGCCTGGGATCTCGAGTGACCACGTGCATTGCTCACTTCTTTGCTGAGGAACAGCAGCAAGCTTCTGCTGAATAGCCAAGTATTGCAGCATTTGCAACAGAGTGTCTCGTCTGTGCTCAGAGCTCACCCCTGCAGGCAGAGACCACTGGAGCAGGAGTGGCCGCAGCACAGAGGACAAGTGGTTTACAAAAAGCTTTTCAGGATCTAGTCTCATTTAGCCCTTTCCTCACCTCCAGAGCTCTCTGGTTTTTAAGTCTAATCTGTAAACCGTGACTGCTGTTTTCTATGGAAGTGAAAGGGCTAGAAAGAAAAAGCTTTGATAGAGCTCCCACAGGCCCTGACTGACAAGGAAGGAACTGGTAAGTATCCTACCGAGAGTGAGCCCTTTTGGAAGGAAATGAAGGTTATGGCTAAACACACTTAATAGGAAGAGGTGGCCTGTTGTGTCCATTCTCGTATCTGTTCACACCATCCTATGACACAAGTGGTGGTGGCTCTGCTGCTACACGTAACTAGGCAATTTTGGCCATGTCACTTAATTTCTCTAGGCCTCAATTCCTTCATCTGGAAAGTGGGGACATCGAATTAGATGTTCTCTAATGTCCTCTAGAGTATCAGCTTTGGGTATACTGAATTTTTAAAACACTAGACTTAGTCCTTAAGAAAGAATAAGCTTTAAGCAAGTCTTAGGTCAGTTTGGACTCCTCTTCTTCAGGTCGCCTGCCGTCTCTCCTTGTCATGGACTGGCCTCCTGGAGATCTGGATGGCACTGGGATCTGTCCTCTCCCATGTGCCTTGGTGGGGCCTCATCCTGAAGCTGCTATCAGTCAGATTATCCGACGTCCTCCTCCTTCCTCCTTCCTCCTCCCCCTTCCTTTGGGCAAGCCACCCTGGAGGGACATGTGGCCTTGACCAATGATACTAAGACACAGACTGCTGCCCTCTGCAGTGTCCCAAGTTTGAGGGCGCTTCATTGATGTGGTCACTTCGACCTGATTATTAATCCAAAGGACAAGTGTGATGCTGGAAATCCTTCCTGGCCTGCAGCAGTGCAGCGTAGACATTGAGCTTGTGGCACTGAGTCCACACGGCCTAGGGCCTATTCCAGCCCCGTCCCTTTCAAGCTGTGTAACTTTGCCTGAACCACCTCATCTCACTGGGTCCCAGCTTTCTCGTCTGTGAAATGGGGCTATTTTCTAGGGCGTTAATACGAGGATTAGAACGATATGTGTACGGTGCTCAGAACAGGGTCTGACATATAGTTAGGCACTAGCCCTTCTGCTTGACATATGTCCCACAAGACCCCCAATTCAAAATGCCCCAGACTGTTGTTTTTATATTTTCAAACTCAGCCTCCCAACCCCAAACCTGTCCCTCTTCTCTTACTCCTTTTTCAGTGAGTCCCATTGGAACAGGAGCTGTCCCACCCTAGTCAGCGTCACTGCTCTGTAAGGCCCTCACCTCCCACCTGGGTGGCGGCAATCATGGTCTCCTTGCTTGTGCCTCAGCAGCCCAATCCTGCTGCCAGGGCACCTGTGCAAACTTAGACCTGCTCACCCCACTCTCCCACGAGGCATCTGTAGTGGCCTCACTGTCTTACCGATGAAATCCCAGCTCTGCAATGTGGCAGCCACGGTGACCTTGTGACCCTGCTCAATGCCCCAGCTCTACTTCCCATTCCCTGCTATGTCCTCCTGCTTTGGGTCCCTGAGCAAGCCCTTCTGGTGCATGTGTTCCAGGAGCCCTGCGTGGGAGGCTGTTGATGTGGCCATGCTGTGATGACCACCTCAGGGACAACCAGGGCTTAATGAGAGGCTTTGGGGACTGAGTGCCCAAGCTTCCCTGAAGAGTCCAAGAGAGGCCTCGTGTAGGTGACCTCGGGACTCTAATGAGGAGCCAGTGTACTCATGCAGACAAAACAGTCTGATCAAATGGTCATCTCTGGCACCTGACAGTGGCACCCCTGATTGCTAACTCCAGCTGTCTGGGCACTTGATTCCCATTGATGCCACCACTAGCAGCTCCCATATATTAAGCACTTACTGTATACCAGGCACTGCGCTATTTTCACACACAATTTACTTAACTTTTACAACACCTTGGTCACTGACGAGGAAACTCAGGCCCCCGAACAACTCAGGCAAAGACCCACAGACAGTAAGTGGTGGAGTGGCCTCCAAGCCCAGGTCTGCTGGACTCTACCATGACGCTCCTAACCTCCCTGCTAGGCAGATGCATGCATTGCTTTGCTCCACTTTCCTGAGTTTGCACTTTCTCAGTGTCCATCCAGTTATCCCAGTTGCTTAAGTGATGACATCATCCTCCAACACGGAAGACCACAGACCAGGAAAGATGACCTAGTCCCACCAAACCTCCAGGTTCCCAGCTCCGCCCTCCACCCCTCCAAGGTGTTGCCCATCCGTGGTTAGGCTGAGTCTCCCACCCGTGGGGACCTCCCACACCGTTTGACAGCCAGCCAATATTTATGACTTCCTGTGAGGGGACTCATGTTGATCGAGGCACTTGCACAGCATGGGTCCTACCGAGAGCTGCTGCAAAGGCAGGAAGAGAACAGCATGATGCCTGTGACAGAGCAGAGCGCAGCAGACACTTCACTGTGTCGGAGCAGCCAGTACCTTTCCTAGAAACTATTTCCTGGTAGAAAGGGGCTCTGGTCTTATCAAAGAATATTCTCCATATTTCATAATAGGAAGCCATAATCATCCAATATTTCCATGGGCAAAACCCCAGACTAAGGCAAAGGGCCTTGTTAAATGAACTAATGAATTTAGAGAAGAGGCAGTAAAAGTAAACCACAAAAGCAGAATTTACTGATTCTTCTTCCAGACCATGACAACAGTTAAGATGCATGCTACATGCAGCTGGCGTTCCAGGCCCCACTCCTCCTCCTCCACCGTAGTTCAAGACTCTCCATCTCATGTGTTCTCCGAGGCGCAGTGTTTCCTGTGTGGTGGTATCATTGCTGCTACTGTTCTTTTAATAAAAGGCAAGACAGAATGGTAGAAGGGAAACGCTGTCTGTTCCTCAATGACCAACCTGAACTGGGGCAGTTGTCACCAACACCTTGTCCATGTGGGGAGGCAGATTCCCTGGGGTCCATAAGAAGCTGCATCTTTATGAGGACTGTGACTTCAAGAGCTTCCACCCAGAAGAGACAAGCTAGTCTCTTCAACTGCACGGGTAAAAATACTTTACACACCCAATGAAGTGATTTCCTCAGAAAATCCCCCTGTGGATGAAGTTAGGATAAAGCCTTTAATCCCACTCCTCCCAGTGGGCTGCCAGCTGGGCCGAGGGGCCGGTGCATGTGTGGCTGCACATCTGGGGCTCTGGGCCTCAGCACCTGCGCCTCCCGGAAGGCCCAAGCCACCTCACAAAAGCCTCTGTGCTGGCTCTAAGAGCCCTGGGGTTAAAATAGCAAAAATACCATCTGGCAAGAGCCTGGCCTTGTTCAGACTGTGTGCTGCCTTGTTGCTGGGTGAGGGGGGACCCTCTTCCAAGCCACCATTAAAATATGAACTGTCACCTCTGCCAGCCCCAGCCCTCGACATCCACCCAGCTGTGGCAATAAGAGCTCCTTGTTTTCTTGGGTTTTCCTCAATTCTCTCACTGACTTGGTGACGACAGTCCGAAAACAGGCTGGACAATCCCCTTCTTTATTCCTAGAAAAGTACACACCACAGCACGGTTACTTTTATGTCAGTGGAAGTTGATCTGAGGAAGAGAACTTGGGCTGGGGCGTGCAGAAGAGTCACCAGTGGCTGCAGGCTCTTTTGTCCTGGTTGCCCTTTTCTTCCATATGCACATATTCCTTTTCCGTTAAGAAAATTAGTTACAATTACTTTTAATTGGAAGACAAGAAAGTACACACAGTCAGGTTCCCTTTATCAGGACAACCTTTTTTAGGACAACACATTGTAGGGTAAGGCGAATCATAACTAAAGCCAAAATGTTTCATTATTTTAGTTATACTAAGTTTCCCCTTATATTGTCAGAGCTAGGGCCCAGACCCTTCAAACCCATTGTACTGACTGGGCCCCCAGACCCCTCACATGCAGGTCCATGCTAGGTAATTGGGAAAGATCCCAGGAGCCATTGGCAGACAACACAAGGTTAGTCAGCAGCAGCAGCAGCCTCCAGCAGCAGTAGTGGCCTCCCCGTGGCCCCCCCGCGGGAGCA